TAATTTAATAATTACAGTAGACAGAATAGATGAGTAATACTCTGTGTGAGTTCTCTTCCCCTGCAGTGTGAAGTGGCTGCAGGCCAGTAAACCTGCAGCCCGTCCCCTTCACTAAAGTCCAGGGGGGGTTCAGCTGGACGAGAACTATTCTCCAGAGAAAACCAGCTCCACCTCTATTAGAGTCCTTCCTGCTGAGCCCTTTGTGTCTGGACTTAATTACTTTGTCAGGAGTGCGTTTCATTTAGAGCCAAGCCTCCTTTTCACTACAGACAGGAAGCAGCTGCACTGTGCTGAGAAAATTCATTCAGTTGAAGAGAAAAATGATTTCAAACACATCAACGGCCTCACATTCAGGTCTTTAGCCTCCACTTTAAGGCCTGTTCAAGCCTGCTCATCAAGGTTTTCCAAAGTAAAAATATGTCTGTCCTTTCAGGGAGGATTAAATCTTCCTGACCTTCCTGTCCAAACTTACAGGTGGGACAGTGTCAGTAAAGCCCATCTTAAAAGGCTTTGAGGGGGAAGTCACCTTGCAATCGCATTTTGATTTGTTGATGCTAATCCACGGCTCAGTCCACGTCACTGGGTCAGGGTCTGGGATATGAAAGCCCCTCAGCGCTGACTCAGGAACAGGATTCCAACCCAGCTTTCAAATCCTAAAGCGCTGCATGAACCAGAACCAGTACAGGTGGACTGGTTTAGAGTAAATTCAAACACTGAAACAGTAAACCATGTCCTAAAAACACACCGATCACCCCTGGAGTTCAGAGGATAACTTATGTTTTCTGAAAACATACATGTTGAGTCCGACTTATTCTACGAGTCACCTTCAGTACATGTACAGTCCCCTCCAAACGTATTGGACCAGCAAGTCTAATTCTTTTGTTTTTGTTGATCACTGAAGACATTTGTGTTTAAGATGCAAAGATGAGCGTGAGACAAGAGTTCAGAATGCCAGCTTTTATTTCTTGGTATTCACATGTAGATGTGTTAAACATGGGATTTATCACAGTTTGTATTACACCACAGCATTTTTAGGTGAGCAAAAATATTGGAACAAATTATCTTAAAGTAAATAACATTTAATATTTGGTTTAACACTTGCTTGCAGTGACTGCCTCAGGCCATCGACACCAAACTGTTTCATTCTTCATTTGTGATGCTGTTCCAGGTTTTTACCACGTCTTCTTTCAGTACTTCATTGTTTCAGAGGGTTTCTACCTTCAGCCTCCTCTTCAGGAGGTGAAATGCTGGGTTTAGGTCAGGTGATTGACTTGGCCAATCTAAAACCTTCCACTTTTTTCCCCTGATAAATTAGTTTAGTTTGCTGGCAGTGAGCTTTGGATTATTTTCCTGCAGCATGATAAAATTCCTCCCGAGTAGTTTGGATACATTTCTCTGTAATTTGGCAGATAATATTTCTGCACACTTTAGAATTCATTCTGCTGCTACCATCAGCAGTTACATCATAAATATTAATGAGGCTGTTCCAGACGCAGCCATGACATTACCTGAACCATGCTTCACAGATGAGCTTGTGTGCTTCAGATCTTCAGCAGTTTCTCTCTCTCCACACTTTGGTCTTTCCATCACTTTGGTGGAGRTTAATCTTGGTCTCATCAGTCCAGAGGATGGTCTTCCAGAGCTTTTGCGGCTCAYCGCTGTACTTCTTTACAAATTTCAATCTGACCTTCTGAATGTTATTACTGATGAGTGGTTTGCGTGTATGGCCTCTGTATTTCTGCTCTGACTCTTCTTCCAACAGTGGATTGTGATACCTTCACTCCTGAACTGTGGAGGTCACTCGTGATGTCACTTACTGATGTGTTATTTCTCCTCTCTTTTCACAGCTCTCACAATATTTCTGTCATCAACTCCTGCTCTTTTCCTTGACGGACCTGATGAACGTGTGTTGCTCGGTACTCCAGTAGTTTCTTTCTTATTCAGGATATTTTAAATTGTGTTTGCTATGGTCAATGTTTGTCTAATAGCTCTGATTTGCCTTTTTTCCCCAGCTTTTCTCCCATGTTGGCTTTTCATCTTTAACTAGAAATACCTACTTTATAGGTTTAAACCCAAGCCAAAAGGTAACTTGTCATTAAGAGTTATTTAATATTTTAACAATGAACCTTAAAAAACAACACCTGGTCAATAAGAAACACCTGTCAGTCACATGTTCCAATGGTTTTGCTCACTTGAAAAATGGGTGGGTTGAAGCAAAGGGTGGTGTGTTTTGAGTTATTTAAAAGGGGCAATATCATGTAAAATCAACTTTGAGTTTTATATCATGTTATGTTATACTCATAAAAAAACATGCCCAAAGCCTTGCTTTGACTCGTTCATTCATTCATGTTTGAAATCCTGCAGCATTTTTAGGCAGCCATGCTGAGGTTCAAAACGACAGGTAGAGACCAGAAACGCCTTTGGGATGTGTCTTTAAGTCGAGCTTCCTCATGGCAGAGAGCCCCCCCCCC